GTGGCCTCCCCTCCCTGTGACCTCCCCTCTCTGTGGCTTCCCTCCCCGTGGCCTCCCCTCCCTGTGGCCTCCCCTCCTTGTGACCTCCCCTCCCTGTGGCCTCCCCTCCCTGTGACCTCCCCTCTCTGTGGCTTCCCTCCCCGTGGCCTCCCTTCCCTGTGGCCTCCCCTCTCTGTGACCTCCCCTCCCTGTGGCCTCCCCTCTCTGTGACCTCCCCTCCCTGTGGCCTCCCCTCCCTGTGACCTCCCCTCTCTGTGGCTTCCCCTCCCTGTGGCCTCCCCTCTCTGTGGCCTCCCCTCCCCGTGGCCTCCCCTCCCCGTGGCCTCCCCTCTCTGTGGCCTCTAATTCCTGTGGCCTCCCCTCCCCGTGGCCTCCCCTGTCTGTGGCCTCCCCTCTATGTGGCCTCTCCTCCCCGTGGCCTCCTCTCCCCGTGGCCTCTCCTCCCTGTGGCCTCCCCTCCCCGTGGCCTCCCCTCTCTGTGGCCCTGACCTGTGCACTGGGGCAGGAGTGATGAGCATGGGGTTGGGCCTGGCCTTTCCTTCCTCCATCTGCTCAAAGGCTCTGCCTCTTTCTGTCCTGCTGTCCGGGGGAAGAGTTGTGCTTTGGCTCCTTGGACTTTTGTGACGCAGCAGCAGGAGGAGACGGGGACGGGGCATGGCTGTGGTCTGTGTGCCCTCTTGATAGTATTTGAGAAATGCGAGGAAAACCTGCCTTATTTTGCGATTGTTTTTTGGGTCCTGGACTGAGCTGCTTTGATCACGAATCCACCAAGACTAGACTTCGTGGGCGTCCGTTTTACAAGCATGAGTGTAGTTTTGACTCACTGATTAGATGCCAACCTCATGGGTCCCATGAAGCAGGGATAGGAGGAGGTGGGAAGGAGCCAGGGATTCCTGCTGGGCTCCTGGAGCAAGTCGTTCTCCATGTTGCCCTTGGGGCAGCTACGGTGAAGTTAGAGGCCCGTGGCTCATGCCCCCGGGAGCAGGGAGGTGTCCAGCAGGAGGACAGTCCTGCGGAGGGCAGGGCGGCTCGCCTCCACGCTGCTGTCCGCCTCTCTCTGGCAGAGATGCTTACGGGAGGTCTAGTCATGCCTCCTGACTTGGAATGTCCCATCTCCCCCACGGCTCATATGCAAAATCTACACAGTCCGGGGCTGGGGGTGGGCACGGGGCTCTGTGGTGCCATGCAGTGCCGGGTTCCTTAGGTGCAAAGGGACAGATGCCAAAGGACTTGGAAGGAGACGACGGGATGGGATGTCCCAGGACTGGGGTTAGGGAGGCAGGCTCACCCCCCGTCTCCCCTCTTCCCTGTTCTGTCATCTATCACACGAGGTTATGGAGTTGGGCTGGGAGCAGGCAAAAACCGCAAGACAACAATGGCCTAGTCCCCACGTGGTGCCCATGTGCACCACGATTAACAAAAAACGGTAGAGACCCTCCCCGAGTTACAGTCAGCTTGTTCTTCGTCTCTGGTTACAGACCCCAAAGGGCCACAGCCCTGAAGAAGTGGGGAGGAGCCTCTCCGTGACTGGAGCATCGCTGCTCGCGGTGTCTGGGATTTCAAACTGGGGCTTAGAGGTCTTTGTGGTACGGACCCAAATCCCATTTCTGATCCACTCGAATAAACACCACTCAAAAGAAATAAACCAAAGGAAGTCAGCAGTGCCCGCGGCAGCCTTGGCATGTACTGGCAGGATGGACGGGCCACACCAAGCAAACTCCGCTGAGAAGCCCCTGACCCGGCACA